TCTTCCCTATTGGTATAAGGCGCAGCAGGTTGAAAAGAGTCTTTAGATCTGTCATGTTGAAAAAGTGTGGCAAAAAAATAAACATGTTCACCGTGTGCTTTATGTCGTGGAAACATATCTCCCGGACAATTGGCTCCCCGAAAATGCGAGGCTCCAGCTGCAGAAGCAGGAGGAGAAACAAAGAAGGGAGGAGAAGCTACGAGAGAAACGTATGAGCACATTACGTCCTCGACGATCAACACGCAATTAATGGAAGATGGGATCTTGTCAATCATGTCAATCAATTTATTTGATAATACACAGTCATTTCTGCCTTCTCTTGCATTTAGTCGACTCACCCTGCTACTTCGGGAGTCGAGTGCTCTCCCTTGTAAAAAGTAGGGAATTCGGAAGAATGCTGATGAAATCGAACCCTCACAGAACACCACAATCTTACATGAAAAGGCAACAAAAAGGCAACAAAGATCAAGTCTCTTGGGGAATGCTATAATTTTGAGAAAATGCAACAAGGCTAGATTCCTATGCGGTTCAGACATCAACCTTCTTCAACAAGATGAGACGTAAATTTGTGGTGGCAGTAACATAACACCTGCCAGAATCAATTTCTCCATTTGGTATAGAAAGCCTACCAGCGGCGTTTATTTCACCATAATGAAAGATGTACAGAAAGTAGATCGAACAGGTAAAGGAGAGAACTAGAGTACACGGAGTACACAAGTGAAGAGCTCAAAAGACGCACTTGCTGTTAATTCTTTTCACACTCTAATCCATAAATAAATGAATATGCATCAGGAACCAATTTATGCCTCTTCAGTATGGCTTCCATTCGTTTGGCCCAGCTTGAATTTGCCCAGCCAGTCCCAAATACAGAATAACTATAGTAGTCACCGTGATGTGCAACATCACAAAAAAAGGTTCCTTTTTCCGATTGTGTAGAGGCCGAACATTCTGTCGATTTAACATTCAATGTTCTGCCCAAATCGGAATTGCGGAAGTCAGCATTGGCCCAGCCATTGCCATGTATAGAAAATTTATGAAAATCGTCTGGGTGTGGCGCGCGGCAAGGTCCCTCGGAATTTTCGAAATCGAGATTGATATAATACGCCATACTGTCTGTTTGAACCAGACTTTCGCCCTTGAAGTTCTTTGGATACTCCTGATCGTTTGCGATGCAACCATTTAGAGCCAAGTCACGTAGAAATTGCAGACAGTCATCAATGTCCATCAGGAAAGCAGATCTATCAACTGAGTGAACTCCAATTTTGATCTTTTGTGTGGTATCTACATCGTAGATCCAAGAAACTGAGCGTTGCAATCTCACTGCATCAGGACAGAATTGATCTTCCAGAATCTTGCTGATTGGGTCTCTCGCTGCTTGCTTATGCCCAGCTCGTGCATTACAAATTTGAACCGTGGGAACAGGAGCGTTGGTGAATGAAGTGGTAGATGGCGAACACGTAGATGGTAGAAGAGTGGGAGACGGTGGGCTGCCGGACGGTATTGTGAGAGCGGATGGGCTGGCAGTGAGAGATAATGAACGGGCGGAGGGCGGTGGCAATCCGGGAGATCGTGTGGAGCCCTGTTCGGGGTTCAGCGTGGAGCCAGGCATCGCGGAGTAGGATGCCTATCAAGGATAAGGTGTCGAGAGCACGAACCGCAATGGATGAATGATGAAGGCATTGAAGAGCCAAGCATTTAGCGCGTGAAATTCTAGATTCCACTAGTTCAATTTAGGAATAGAGAGGTGCGCGTAAGCGCTTTGTCGCATCGAAGTTTGATCATGTGTGCCGATCATTTGCCTGTGCCGCAACATTAAGTGACCGAGACTGAAATAGCTTCGTAACGCCAGCATGGTGCGCAGCTAAAAGGTGATCCTCGTCAAAGAAACAGAAAAAAGGAAAAGTTGGCTTGCACTCGAAAAATGGCTCGCGGCAGTTGTTGACATGATAACATAAATGTGACTGAATCATCTTTCGATGGTGTTACTTCACTCACATATCTCTACTGATCTACCTCTCCACACACCTACTTTGCCACCCGAAACCATGAGTGGTAAGCATTAGTCAATTGAGCTGTGTTTCATTCTTATAGCTAATACATCACAGATACTCACTCTCTGTCAAACAAGCTGATGCAGCTAACGAGAAACCGATGAACGAAGCCATTCCCGCCTTCACGCCTATGAGCTTCGTATACGACGACACCTTCTAGGGAGCCGCCGTTTTGGTTGGGCAGCCGAGATCTTGTTGGTGCTTTCCTTCTTTCGCATACTGTCGAACATTTTCCTTTACCAATAGGCGTGTGTTTGTTTTCCTTTAAGCACGCGATAATGCACCAGACAATCGTGTCCTACTCTTGTTATTTCTCTTCCCAAATCAGGTCCTACCCTTTTCTCCTGCTTTTACATGGCCATGCTCATGAATGCTTTTTTCTTTTCTTTCTTTCTTTCATGATTTTACGACGCTTAGTTATCGGGACGATTTGACCCACCCCCCCTGATGTTATGATACACCCATATATGTAGTTAGCCGTAACGACATTACTAAGCAGCCCGTTACAATTGCTTATGTTCGCCACGCGATATAACAATAAAAGAACCATACTTGCATATCTGGAGAAACATAGGCAGCTTCTAAAAGGATTCCGGGTTTGATAGGGTTATTTGAACGTGTCCGGGAAAAGTTCGAGCGGTTGAATGCGCCTGAACCGGGAAAGCCAAGAGAAAGGAACAGGGGGTGAAACGCAAAGAGAACAAGGGCTATGGACCAATGAGGAGTGATAGCGGTCCTCCTGCCTTGGCACGAAAGCCTCGCCTGCTCATAAGAGGACGGCCATCCCTCCGTTACACTCCATCCTCCTTTTTCTCTTCTTTCCTTTAATTTTCAGTCCCGTATCTCCCGCCTGGTGTCTCAACCTACACTGGACTTCAATTTGTTCACTTTACCTTGATGCCATTTACTCTAATGGCGCCCTTTCTCCCCGCCGAACTCATCTTGCATATCCTTCAGCATGTACCGGACGTCCCCAGTCTCTTTTCAGCAATCCTGACCTGCAAACACATTTACGCAGTGTTCGAAGCCCATAAAGATCACATCATGGAATCACTCTCCCAGAAAGAATGGGGCGACACACAACTCTATAAACATGTGAATGAGGGAGTGAGGCCGAGTGCACTGTGGAGCGGGTGCAAAGGTGAAAAAGAGGCACGCAGAGTCCTGACAAGGCTCTTCAGACAACTGGTTTTCATGGTCAACATTATCGATTTCTCCAGAGAGACCACCAGATGGTTCTTTGTGGTCATATGGCAACTGTTTCGATCAGCCAATGCTGAGGATATACTTATTCCGGTAGCGATGCGCCTTGCCCAAACGTTTGTGCAGGCAGAACGGAAACCAGAAGCTGTCAGGCTACTTCAGGCTCTCTGGGGCGGTGAGCCTCCATTTATGTATGGCACTATCTGGGACGGCGAGCCTCCCCCTCCAACGCTGTTCCCTCTGGGGAACCAATTGATGGGCCTACTTGGCCAAGAGGATAGACACTTCTCGTCACTGCAGAAGTCAACTGCTGGGATGAAGCGAGAATTTCGTGATTTGCCGGTGGTGAAAATTGGGCAGCAAAATTTCTATGAAGTTGAAGATCTTACTTAGCCTGACGCAGGCTTTGAAAAGTATGGGATCCAGTTTTGTCATCCCTGTGAGAAGCGCAATAAATTCCAAAGATGCTATCTTCAACAAAAAAAACAACGAACTTGGCTGGACCCTGTTCCGGTGCTGGTAAAGGTCAGGGAAGAATTCAGTCTCTTTGAAGATGCAGCAGATGATATACCCATACCCCTTCCGATGCGAGGATGGTGGATGATGGTGGAGCCTCATTGGCTCCCCGAAAAGTTCCAGGTCTGCTTCCCACCAGTTTCAATTACCGTTCCGCGTTCTCCCGCTGATCTTCATGCAGAAACCCCTCCCCCATTTACCATGGGCGAAGTGGACCGCCGGCGCACCCCACGACAGCGTCTCTCCACATCCGGGGGGTCGGCCTCAAATGTCGGCTGGCCACGCCGGTGCAACACTGGAGGAGTGGCTGGTCAAAAGGATACTGGATTCCCGGATCCGCGTGCGGAACGGCATGCCACGCACTCTAACGGGCCACATGCGTTTCAAACAGAAAAGGAGATCTACTTTAGAGTAAATAAAGAAAATATCACTATTTCATTTCTACTCTACTCAGCTTCTCATTTTATTTTATTAACTATTATAGTAAAACAGTCCGGAGAAAAGGGAAGATGAAGCAAAGTGGGAGGAGCTGGCTTTATTTGCCTAAGCCATTTTGAGGGAAGCCGGCTATTCCCATTTAGGATTAATACAATCCGATACAAAGCTTCTGCGAGCTTACCTAACGTATCATTCTTCCGTTTCAGCATACTTGTCACGTGGTAACTTGGGTGACTTACTAGTTAACTAATTAATCATGAACTTCACGCAAACCCTTTCTTCATGTCTTTGATCCCTTCCAACACTAGTGTACTGGGCCAGTTGTGTTTAATCGACCCTCAGCTTTAAATGATGGCATTACAAGGTTTGCTCAATCAAATTCCTATCACCTAATGAGACAATGCTAACGCCATCTTTGTTCTTGAATCTTTGGGCCTCTGAGCTCGCTTGATGATCGGCTTTCCCATTTAACACAAGATGAGCGGGACCAGATGGAGGATTTTGTTCGGGCAAAAATGCAGCAGATAGAGGAAAGGAGGTTGGATGAACATCAAACATTTGATCAAGTTCTTGAGTTATAGTCTAGGAATTGACAAGAACTAAGATATTATTGCTGTCTCGTGTGGTTCCGACTTGCAAGGGAGTTTGGATCTTGGTTCCATTTTCTTCCGGATATTTATGAGAGATATATCCGAATCTTCCAACCCAGTTAGCATTTTTCAATGGAAAACTAGGAATTAAACGGGTAAAATACATTTTGTTTCACATGTTCGCGGCACATAGGACAAGGCTTTGCTTCGTCCATTCTGCTTGACAGCATATGCTGACGAGCACACCAGTGACAAAGCACTGCATGCCCACAGGGAAGCATCACAGTGTCAATAAGTTGACTCATGCAGGCTTTGCATTCCAAGGTAACTGTGAGTTCTTCTGTTTCTTTAGGCTCCGGGCGTCCATCCTCCGCGCAATCAAGCCCTTTGACTGGAGTAACAGGTTCAGCATTATTTCTGCTACGGGATTCCAGAAATCTTCTCCTGCATTCCCTTTCTTCTGTGAGAAGAAACCCGTCAGTGTCATTAGGGTAGTGCGCAAGGGCGCGGAGATAATTAGATCGAGCCTGCTGAACATAACTCCGAGGAGTATCCCCCAGGGCCCCCATATTTATCGCAGATGCAGAGTGATTGTGTCGGTTGCTGTGGGGCATTGAGCCAGGCTGCGGCATCGCTCTATTGATAGTATGCCTGGGTCGTCGACGGCTCGCCGTGGTGACTCTAGGAGGGACCCTGAGACTCGTAAAAGTTCCCACCGCGTTGGCTTGATTTTCTGTGGGGAAGGCGTCGATGGGATGAGGCAAGGTAGGGCCATTGAGGCCCCCGTTATTAGTTGAACCGCGAGGATTAAACTGTGTATTGTGGTAATCATCAGGCATGTGGAAAGTTTGGCCTTGAGATTGGTAGGAGTAAGCCGCGGATTCTGAAGCAGATGCCTGTAGATTTGCTGGTATTGTGGCACCTGGAGACGCGTAGCTGGGCCTCCCGGCCATGCCAGCCCGGTTCACGGGCATATACACCCAATGATGGGATATTGGTGGGTTGGACGTCTGGCCGAACATATAGGCATTAGATGTGGAGTGTTGAGATGGGGGATCCGCTTGCGACATTCTATATGTCGAATGAAATAAGCAGCTGGCAAAAGGCAGGAATAGTGAGAAGGGCAAGAAGGGAAATAACAGACAACTCAAACACAATTGATGCAAAGGGTATAATAAAGGTAAAAGCAAGGAAGCACTTTAAGGCCACAGAAAGTGCGGGGTTCTTCTATCCTTTTATGCTGCAGAGAGGTGAAACGATATTTAATAGATGGCCATCTACAATGATACAGCCAAACCCGGACTGTATAATCCCCAAGCAAAGAATTCGTGGCAAAGCTGCGCATAAGGATCCCGGGTTTACCAGACCCTTGTTGCAGGTGGCACCAGCGCCTTATTGCTGACCTGGGAAACTTTCACCGCTGAATCGAGGGATGGGCTCCCATTGCAACTGGTGACTTGTACGGGTCTAGCGCTGATCTGGGAAACTATACACCACTGGAATTGGAAGATGGGCTGCTCCCATTGCAACCTGGTGGCTGTAAGTGCATATCCGGACGGAAGGTTCCCCTGCATCAAGCATGAGGAGGGATCTTGCCATCCAGGCCTGCATGGGCTTGGTTGCCTTGTTATGCGCATGCACCCTGGCGTGCACAGGCGCTGGCCCTAGCAAAAGAGATTTTAGAAATATAGGCAGCTTCTAAAAGGATTCCGGGTTTGGTAGGGTTACTATGTCAGTCAAAGACTCCATCGGTACTAATGACCGTGTCATTATTTGAAGCTCAAAGTACGCATAGCCATTGTGTAACCACTAGCTTTATAAGCCAGGAGGATAGTTCAGAGTGCAGTAATCAATTCGCCCCCCAAACGGACCATATGCAGCAAGGCAGTTATTGGGGCTCGTACAAGTCACTTGCAATCGGAGCCCTTAATTCCAGCTGTGTATACTTTAGAATTTGACATAGCTGAAGTCAGCATCCGGAATTTCTAATTTTCCGGGATGCACTATTTCTTATTGGCGCAAGCAGGATGAATTATCAGCCAGGAAACACGTCCATCCATCAAATGGCAACCCCACAGCGATGTTGATTCCCATAACCATGAACATATAACCGTTGATTTCAATAAGAGCGCCAAATGATGTTTTCCATCTTCAATCTCTTCACGCCGTTTTCCTTGCATTAACTGAATCCAGCGGCGACACTGAACAAATTCAATTAGCCAATAATAATAAAGACCGTGTAAACAGGCTTTGTAGGTGAATCCAGCAGCATAAAACTGAATAGGCAGCTCTTACCGATGCTAGGCGATATCCATACCCTCCACCCGGATATCATCATTGCTGCCATTTGTCTTTGGTCCTGGAGGATCCCATACGTTCGCAGCTAAGTCATTCTCCTCCCCGCTGCAACTGTCATCACTCTCAACATTTTGACATTCCTTTTCGCATTCGAGTCGGTAGGCCTGAAGGCGCATGAGGCTCTCATTGGCTTTAGTTATGACATCGACATCGTTGGAGGAGGTTAAGAGTTTCTTGAGCACATCTTCTGTTTCGTCCATGGTGCATTCTTTGGCTATTCTGGCATCCTCGACCTTGCTCTTAGAATTTTCAAGCATTTGATAGAAGACTTGAAGCCTAGTGATGTCGCTGTGGTCGCGGCCGGCGTCGCATATTTCGTAGGACAATCGGTCTAGTGCATTTCCAAGGTTCTTTTCAGACAACATCATGCGTTCCATGTCGTCTATCCTGTCGTTCATGGCTATAAGCAGGGAGCTACACATTTGAGGCTGTCTAAACACTTTAGGATGTATAGCAGCCGCTTCGAGTTGGGTGGCATAATGTGTAGGTCTAAATTTCTTCCCGGCGTTTTCCTCGAATAACTGAATCCAGCGGCCATACTAAACAAATTCAATTAGCCAAGCAAGGTGAATCGAGCAGCATAAAACTGAATAGATGGCTCTTACCGATGCCAGACGATATCCATACCATAGACAGCGCTCGTTGCGGGCTGATTGGGTGCTGGGCATGTCTATGTCATCGCTGTGGTCCTCCATGGTAGCATTTGTGAAGAAATCAGGTGGATATACTAATTGTGACCATATCTGGCTTCGAAAGAGGAAATCCTCTGGTAGTTGGGGGAATTCCGTTTCAGTTGGGATCGGGAAGTTGACACTTTCAAGCCGGGATTCGCTGACAGATTCGCGGCTTAACATGTTCAGAAAGATAGTGATCTTTGTCCACGGAATTTCCCCTTCCACATACACCATCGATTCCGGAATCAATGCCAGGCTCAAAATAAATGCTAGGGAGAGGTGGACATAAGGAAAAATATTTTCGCCCTGGGCACGCTGAAGAACAAAAGAGAGGGTATGAAAATTCAGATATGTGCTGTAAGTAAGTTTCTCCAAGGGGGTAGAGAAAGTTGCAGTGTCAGAAGGAATGCCATCTTTCAGAGTGTTTTGGGAAGGTTCTGAAGGGAGCTGGAGCCAGTACTGTTCAGCTTGCTGTAACCTAGCCTCCCAGCTCAGCTTTTGAAAGTCTATAAACATTCTTGTGAGAATGCCATCCTCCTCGCCATATTGTAACATTGCAGCGATGTTGGGGACTCCCACGCGGATTGTTGATTCCCGGAATTTGAAAGTCCGCTGCTCAATCTCGGTGTCAAAAAGGGCAATATACTTGTTCACATACTCAATGAACTTGTGGATTGAACCACCGCGAAGAAGTATAGCATGCGAGCTCACAAACCAAGAGGTTAAGTCTGGCGGGGTGACATCCTGATTCTGAATTGAGTTCAATGTCGTCTTAAAGGCAGTCTCAACGCGGCATTCATATCGTTTGATTGCCATAAGAGACCGGGAGTAAAAGAACAGTTGCTCATCCATGTTGGGTGTTGAAAGATTACCAAGTCGGTGGTAAAGACTTCCTTTTCCAGGGTTCTCGTCGAGGGCCTTGTGATACCAACGCGATGAAATGTCGTTCCAGGTCCCCCTCTCAGAATCTGTATCCTCAAGACACATCATATAGCTGGCCAGGTCACCAAGACATTCAAACCACAGATTTTTAAATTTGGGGATGATTTCTATAAGCAGCGTCATTAGGCCGTACGCATGGTGGATGAAGGAAATCATGTAATCATGACTGTCCGGTCGTCGAGCTTTCATGATTTCTAACAAGACGTAGATGCCTTGGTGCAGCATGCGAGACGGCATCTTACATACAACAGGAATATCCAAAATCTCTCTGTTGCTGATTGGATGTTGCGTACATATGAGTAAATCATAATGGTGATCAAGGAGGTTTCGGTGCCATTTGATCAGATCAGTCCACTGTTTTCCACTCAATTTTCCAACGGGTGTGATTTCTACTTCTGTACGACATGTCATTTCAGCTGTTAAAAGAGCCTCATATATTTTGGCAGTTTCATGCACCAATATCTCGTACGGCAGCTCCTGAACATCACATTGGCGAATCATGGTTTCTGGCGGTTCGGGGTCCTCCTCAACACCATGTGAGGCAGATTTAAAGCTCAAAAGTTCCAGTAACTCATCTGAGATAGTTTGGTCTGGCTCCCATCCATCAGAAATAGCGACGACGGCGCTTGATACTGTGGCAGAGCACGGCACTTGACCGGAGTGGGAGTGGGAATCAACC